TAAAAAGTTGAACTCCATAAAGCACTGTAGAATTTAAAGAATCCTTCCATTAAAAATAAATAAATAAGGACTTCCCTGGTGGTCCAGTGGGTAACACTCCACACTCACAATGCAGGGGGCCCGGGTTTGATCCCTGGTCAGGGAACTAGATCCCACATGCATGCTGCAACTAAGAAGTCCACCAGCCGCAACTAAGACCCGGCGCAGCCAAAATAAATAAAGAAATAATAAATATTTTTAAAAATAAAATTAGTTAATTAACATAAATTTAAAAGTTGAACTATTAGAATCAGAGAGTAAAATGCTGGGTTCCCCGGCCTGGTAGGTGGGGGAAATGGGAAAATGTTGGTCAAAGTGTACACACTTTCAGTTATAAAATGAACTAAGTTCTGGGCATCTAATATACAGCATGGTGATTACAGCTAATAATACTTGAAATAATAATACTATGTATACTTGAAATTTGCAAAAATAATATATCTTGTGTTCTCACCATGCACAAAAATGTGATACTATGTGAAGTGATGGGTGTATTAATTAACTTAATTGTAGTAATCATTTCATAATGTATACATATATTAAGACATCACATTGTACACTTTTAAAAGAAAATCATGTTGTACAACCTAAAAAAATAAAATGAATAGCTGCTGAGAAAAAATAAAATCTTGCGTGTTATTCACATAGTTCTAAGGCTGTCATCACCTGCACTTTTCTCTTCCTCTATTCACTCATGCTTTCTTTCTCCTCAGAATAACTCTTAAAGACAGCAGAAGTCTTTTTGCCTCTGCTACTTTACTGTATGACATAATAGGACTTGATTTTGAAACTTCCCTTTCAAATAGACATGTTAACTGTGGAAAGTTAAAAAAAAAAAAAGAAAGAAAAAGGAAAGAAGTCTTAAAGGGAAAATAACTGGAAGTACTTGCAATATTAATCCTAATAATACTGTTGCCTTTTCCTTCCAAGTATTTCCCTTTCAATTCCATTGGGCTTCTAACTCATTAACAGTACCACAATAGCATTAATTTTACAGGTACAGAATGCTTTAATGTCAAAATCATATCAAAATGATCTTTTACCATCTGATATTCATTTCACACAATATAAAAATGAGCAAAGTGCCTATATTTACAGAAGATGAAAATAAAATATGTCAAGAACAGCTTATTGTTAAAATAATTGTGTAACAGAAAAAGATAAAACTTGTTACTTATAATTGATATATTTTTATAAGCTATAATGATCAAATATTGTTCTGTAAGAAACCTCAAAATACAAGCTCTTAGTATTAAATTTTTTCTTTTCCTGTGGGCTACAAATAGCAACAACAGGCTCTAGTTCTTTGTTTCACTAAAGTCATGCTTATATAGTTGAAGAAAACACTTATTTTTGACATGAAATGAAGAACTTTGCATATATTTAAAATGGTTTCAAGTTAAATACATAATTAACTTGAAGATTAGCCATTGTAAATTTATAGTACTTTATACATAAAAATGAAAGTAATTATTTCCTACTATTTTGGAAAAAATAAGATTGTAACCACATATGTCATGTCAGGGCTAAGAGCTGAACACGGTGAGAAAACAATAATTTTTAAATTGTTTCGATTAAGTCTTCTCTTCCCAAAGCTAATTAAACAGGACTTTTGTCTTGATCTGAAGTATAATGTATTAAAATATGTTGACAGAGTCGGAAAATGTGTAATGCAAGAAATTTATACATTTCCATGTAGTTATTGCTTTTTTTTGATAAGCTTTGTGTAAAAATTAGCCTTAAAGAAAAACAAGGCCAAATTTGAACATTTTTAATGTGGATATGTGGATGTTAACTCAAGTAGATATTTGCCTGTGTATTAGTTTTCTATTGCTGTATGACAAACTACCAAAAATTTAGTGGTTCAAAACAATGCATTTTTATAATCTTATAGTTTCTTTGTCCAGGCACAGCTTGACTGGATCCTCTGACGGGTCTCTCACAGGCTACACTCAGGGTGTCCACCTGGGCTTTATTTTCACCTGGAGACATAAGTGGGGATGAATCAACTTCCAAACTGGTGGCCCTGGATTCTTGCTGGCTGTCAGCTAAAGGCTACCCTCAGCTCCTAGAAAGAGGTCAGCCATAGTTCCCTGCCACGTGGCCCTTTTTCTTGGGCAGTTTACATATTCAAGGCCAGCAGTACAGTGGGAGCAAGACTGCTAGCAAGACAGTCTTATCAAATGTAATGTAATTGGAGGAATGACATCCTTTTTCCCATAGTCCACATGTTAAAAGCAAGTCACAGGTAAGGGGATTACACAATGCATGAATACTCAAAAGTGGGAATCATTGGAGGCCACCTCAGGGTCTGTTTGCCACTGCAATTTGCAAAAGCATATAATTTTCCAGATTAAAAACAAGTAGATACATTAGTAATTAGGAAGGAAGAGTTCAGAACATATAAAATGCCACCTGAAGAGGTTATACACTACAATGCTGTTCTGGCCACATCATTTCTTTCAAATCACACCCTTAGCTTCAGTGAAATGGTCAATTATGGGTCAGTGGTTGTACCATTAAATGTAGGAGCTGAGTTTAGTCATTTATTCTACTGATTTATAGATAGATAAATAGATAAGTAGATAGACACACACATACCCTCAGAGTACCATGTTGTGGTAAACTGGTGCACAACAATTGCCTCTAATTTATTCTTGTCTCCATGCTCGTCTGTATCCCTCACCCTTGCAAAATTCCATCCTGCACTGACCTTGTACTTGGCCATGTGACTTGCACTGGCCAATGGGAGACAGTAGCAAATGTGTCACAAGCAGAGGCTTCAATAGGAATTAAGCACTGGGGCTTGCCTTCTCTCCATTCTTGAAACTTGTCACCATCATGGAAACAAACCTGGACTAGCCACTGGATGATGAGAGATCCATAAACCCACTTGCTGCTGTTACCCCAGCCAACAGTCATTCGAACCTTAAAAGCAGAGCTGTCCACCAGACCTGCAGCTGACTGCAGATATATAAGAAGACTCAAGTTAAACCATCATGAGAACTTTCTTGCTGAGTCCAACCCAAACTGATGATGAACAGAATTAGAAGCTAAAAGAAGTGTTGTTTAAATCCACTAGGTTTTATGGTTGTTAGTTAAGCAGCAAAATATAGCCAATAAATACATCTATTGATTATATCTAATAATTATATACACACATATATATGTATACACACACAGAAATGTGTGTATGTGTGTATAAAACCCCAGGTTCATAAATATTTCTTGATACTGGTTGTATTTTAGGAGGAAGCTAAATAAAGTGAATATCTTTTTATAAGTATTCCTTATATTACTAAACTATAATTTCCTGTTTTCTATTTTTTTTTAGCAACAAAACAACTGTTAGGACTGTGCCCAGCAAAGATCATTACTAAACAATGAAATATTTTGAAATAGGTTTTATTTCCTCTTTTTCTCAAGAAGGAATTGCTGATGCCTGATTGTAGTGAGCAAGTCTGTAATCAAACAAGTTCTAACAAGAATTATATTACTTCAGTCATTTTTAGTAACGCAGGACATTACAGCTGCCTTTACGGTGTGTAAGAAAACGACAATTTAATTAGCTATATTGTGGAAGGGGACACAGATAGATATATTTTAAAAGGTGCAGCATATATCAAAGGAAGGAAAGTTGCTGTAGTTTTGTTTTTATGAGAAAAGGAGCTAAAACATACCTCTACTCTGACAGAAAGGAATTACTACTTCATCCTTTTATATTGATGAACTAAAAGCAAAGATGTTTCTGGGTATTTCTGAAGTACGTTCTCAAAATAGTGAGGAGGATTTTAAAAGTTTTGCATATCATAAAAATGTTGGGACTTCCCTGGCAGTCCAGTGGTTAAGACTGTGCGCTTCCACTGCAAGGGGTGCGGGTTCAGTCCCTGGTTGGGGAACTAAGATCCCACATGCCATGGGGCACAGCCAAAAAAAAAAGTTGCTCTATGTCATTTAACTGACATTAGAATTTAAATAAATCCACACTGATTAAATTTAATAAGTTTTCTCTTTTTTTGTTATAATTTGTAAAACATACACTGTAATCTTAACTGCTTCTCTGTCTACTCATCGACAAAATATCTGGATGAAAGTGAAAGATTAATTATCTAGGTGTTTAAATGGTGAGCATATAAATGTAATAACCACATGTAAACACTTCAGGGAATTTTTTTAACCTAATAATTCCTGCCATCATATTTATTTAAAGATCAATAAGGGTCTCAAAATATAAAGTGGTTAAAAGATCCCCTACTTCCCAATAATCACCAAATCCCAAAGATCTTGTTCCCTAAGTACCCCTTGAATCTACTTTTTCTCTCCAATTCTCCACAATTAATTTAGATCTGGTCCTCTTCACTTTTTGCCTGGATTACTGCCTGGACAACTTCTTAAGTTGTCTCTTCCTCCTCTCTCGTTGTTTCCTAATATTTGGACATCACATTACAGGAAGGCAAAATTACTAGTAGTTAGTTGAATATACTATTTTATTTCATATCTTTATGCATATTTATGTGCTAAAATACCGTTTACTATTATTCATTTTATGAGTACTTATTCATTCTCAAAAACTTGGCCTAGATATTTCCTCCAATTATATTAAATGGTCCAAATGGTTTAATAAATTCTGCTCTCTTCTGCATTTATATCCTCTTCATTTTTGTGTGTACCTTACACAAATTTTTATTGTCATGTAGGAGACTACTTTATTGATAATAGAAATCTTTTCAAAAACCACAGGTAAGCCCGAGCCTCAAGAGATTTTAGGAAATGGACAAAATAAATTAATAAATGTATCTTTTTTTACCTTAAGTTCACATTTCTTACATTCTTTCAATAAAATAAATTGCTAATAAAATCACATTCTCAGCAGATGCAAGAGACCCACAATACTCCTTGGCGTCTTCTTTGTCTTACTCTATGGAGTCTCATTTCTCTTGCTCTCCACTTCGGTTAAATTTTAATGTATGCTCCTTTAGAAACTCCCCTATTAAAAGCAAAAAACAAACTCTAAATTTCTCTTTTCATGGCTCTTCTTTGATCATGACCAGGAATACGAGACCTCTGCTGTTTAACCAAGTAACAATGTAGTTCTTTACATTTACTGATTCAATAAATATCTGTGGCACACCAAAAATGCACAGTAAGATAAGCTCCTCAACTTTCTGTACTTTAGGAAGATGCTTTTTAATCTCATATGTGAGCAAATAAAGGATGACATACCTTTTTTATTTTGATATCTATCTTACACAAAGAGTTCATTATCAAGTTCAAGGACCCATAAATAAGAATTTTTAAATCTCTATAATTTTCCAGGTGATATACAGTTACTTTCTGGTCCGCACTTTAATTCATTGCTACCAGTTCCAATAGCTCCTCCCATCTTCTCTTCATTGCTGATAACTCATAATATCAAAGATGAACTAATTGCTTTTCTATTTTCTTCTTTTTAAATTAAAATTTGTATTTTGATGCCCAAATAATACATGGTATAAATAAGAAAGAAGCACATAACTAGTTTTTAAGAGCATGATGTGGATGCTCAAGAAATAATAATAATAGATCTATTACTATTTTATCTTTATCTTAATTTAACTTCATGGAATAATAAGGATTTATCATTTAATTTCTCTATTAAATATGACTTACCAATCTGAACTTAAGGTAAGAGACATAGGTCAACAAGGAATCACAGAATTTTAAGGTTGAAAGAGATCACTAAGTCCAAATCTCTCATTTTACAGACATGGAAACTTAGGTCTAAAAAGAATAACTGATTTTCCAGTGGCCAAATAGTCCTTGGAAAACCAAGACTGGGAATTTCTGACTTCAGATTCAGTTTGCTATTCAACTTTCCTTATTCAAACATATGTATATTTGCATTTTGATTAACATCACATGTATCATATGACATTTCTTAGTTACCTTGAATAGTGTTCTTCAAAGAGTAACCTTGCTTCCAATGAATTAAATACTAAAACCCAGCTATCAGTGTTCAAACCTTGAGGATTCTTCTCTGCATTAAAGCCTGTATGTGAGCTATCTGGATGACTGGTGATATCTCTCTGCTCTACTTTCTGTACCTCGGGAGCTCCAGTAAATTCTCCTCTCCATTACCCTGTCTCAGCCTTCAGAGCTTTGGCATTACACTCCATGAAGGCTGACAGTGCTTTGGAGGGATTTTTCTCATCTCATCCTCATTCTACAACATGAGGTTTTAATGATTGATTAAACAACATATTAAATATATGTGTGATGTAGAGTACAGTTCATATCATTGAATAACTACAATCTCATTGATATTAAGAATGTAAACTATTGATTAAGGTACTTTGGTATGTCAATTTGAGAAAAGCATCTGAAATCTCTTGGACAGTGAATTATTGTCTAACATAATTTTCTAAAGTGAGAGAAACATATAGCTATTGGTCTACAGAAATAGTGGTTTTCCAATCAAGAAATTTTGATTTGACTATATGAATTAAATTAGTACAAAAATAAGCACAGTACCATTCTCATAGCAGGCAAGAATATTAGATATGCCTTAAAGAAAATTAATGGAATATAATAAATATCTTCCATTTTTTCCTCTTTTTTTTTCTTGTAGAAATAAACTTAAGAAAGAAACCCAAATGACTGCATGAAAATTCATGATGTTATTTTAATCTATAGGTAAATATGGCTGTAAAACATTTATGAAGAAGTGAAATTTTTTTAAAAATTAGGGCTAAGCAACTTGTATAAACAAAACAGTTTTTATGAGACTAAATACTTTTATTTAACTATTTCCACTATCGATCTAAAATTATTTTAAATAAAATTCTTTGCATATATTTTTCAAAAAGTTATTTTCATTCTTTGCCATTGACAACTACAATTTTGAAATAGCTAGTGTCTTTAAACATAACAAGTAATATCATAAAACAAAATAGACCCTAATTTAGTTAACTTTTCAACAGCGTATAAGCCATTCATAAGTAGTTCAAAGAGACTAATAATATTTGTGTATCTCAACTCCACACAATTCCTCTAGTCATTATTCTAAATTCCTTATCCCCTGAACTTTCAAGTGAAAATTCTAATAAAAGTGAAAATTTTAAATGTGCTACATTATACGGTATATCTAAAAATGAAAGAATGATTTTTGACATACAAATGAAATTACATACCAAACATTGTAATAAACACAGGCAGCAAAATCAAAGCTTATGATTGACATAATTTTTCAAATTGACAACATTAAGGGTTTCTGGTGTCATCTCTTTGTGAGCAATATTTTGGCAAGTACTTTTTTCTTCCTTATTTGACTTGTCACATATGTCAAAGATGATTGATTATCATGCTGGCAATGAATGAATAAAATACCACACCCAGAAGTCTGTGGCAAAGAATTCTTACCACATGAATATGATATTATTTAACAAATGCAAACATATGATGTATCTTATTTATTTACTTACTTATACAGCTTTCATCTATTCACTCAGTATTCATAGTTTTAGTTTGTGGCTGTCAGTGTCATTGAGATACATTAGTTTCACTTATTTAATTCTCAGATTCTATTCTTTTTAACACTAACGTGAATAAAATGATATTATAACTTAGTATTGAAATGGATAATCTGTCATAAAACTTGTTTCAATCATCTTAAAATATTTTTCAGTAAAACATTTGGGGCTGTATTTTCAGTAATCTGCTCATTGATTACATTCAACTACACATAATGCTAAACAAAGGAAATGAAATCCTGGCAACAAATTCTAAGGGACTTGCCGAACTACAGTTTAGAAACAGACACAGGAACAACAACAACAAAAATATATATTTATATATATATTTATTTATTTGCTTGCTTGTTTATTTATTTATTTTACAAACTTGGGAATTATGTGCCTTAAAATGCTTTTTAACCAAATAAGAAATAGGGAACTAGAGAGATGAAATAACTTGACCAAAATCACCCAGCTAGTAAATTCTTCTAAAATTGTCACCTTAAATTGATTCTTTATCTCTAAACCTTGCATTCTTTCCTCTAGAAAATTTAGTTGATCCCTAAGCTTTAGCTATAATATGCCTTCATACACATCAGGAGTAAATAATTGTTAACATTTCTACTAATTTCAACTACCACAGAAAACCTTATACAATATCACACTGTTCATTAAGCCACAGTTATGAATATGACACGTGAATTTGAAATTCAGTGAAATTAATAACATAAAGAACCTGTTTTGCCCAGTGTGACAGTTACACTTTGCTACATAAGAAGCCACCTCAAATGCAGTAGCTTAAAACAGCAGTGTATTATTTTTCACAAATCTTTGATCTAAGTGGGTAATTCCTGTGCTGTTTCAACTGTGCTCCTTAATGCTGCTGCATCTAGCTGAGAAGTTGGCTGCGGTTGGGTTCATCTGCAACATTTAGAGTACCTGGGCCTCTCTCTAGGTGTCTTTTATCCTCAAGGAGAGTAGATCAGGCTGAACTTCCTCACATGCGATACCTACATTACAAGAGAATACAAGGTCTAGTGACTCGCTCAGAAATTGCACAGCACAGAAATGTGTCATTTCTGACACATGCCATTAATCAAAGCAAGACCCAAGGCTATATTCAAAGGGGTAGAGAAATAGAATCCACCTCCCAATGGAAAGAGCATCACTGGTACATTGAACTAGGGATTTCAAACTAGGGCATAATTGTAATAACAATATTTGCTTTACAGCATGAATGCAAATGTATGTATTTCAAACTGGATTTCTGTGAGGTAAATTTTTCAATATATACTATGCAATTTCTCCTCTATGTATTTCTCTCAATTGTGAGATGCCTTCTAGACTTAAACTTAGCTCTTTGTATTCTCCTTCCTTTTTAACTTCTTTGGGGACCTTTTCCACATTTACTTTTCTTGGAAAACTATAATGGTAACCTACAAATATATTCTATTATGTAGGTTAATGTCACTGCATCAAACCTTAAATGTCTAAACTTAGATTTATCCTAGAATTCCTAACCCTCTGTCAGTGCTACCTCTCTTTTTCAGGTTCGCTTTTGATTAATAACTCAGAATAGTGGTTTTAAATGTTGTTAGCAAATGAGTAATTTTTTTAAACAAAATCTATATAGAATCTAAATATATAAAAATATAAACATGGTAACTAGTATAAGTTTATTCTTAAGATAACATTTATTTATTATCATTTCAATTAATGAGAAAATTGAAGCTGTTTAGAGTTAAAAGTTTAATAATCTTTTAAGATTATTAAATGATGGTTGCTACTGTACATTAGCCTAACACCTAATGTCTTTCTGTTTGTTTGGATTGCATAATATAGATAAAATCCTGATTCAAACAGATAAGCAGCTACAACTGCTAACTTAAAATTTCAAGATATTCTTTAACTTGACATAATGCTTACAAAAAGTATAACAGAAAAATGTGCACTTCAAAGTTGAATCACTATCAATAATAAAATTGCTGGCCCTCCTTATAATAAATTTGAAAGTCAAAGTTATAATAACACAGAAATATCAATAAGACAATTTCAATCCTTGATTGGTTGAGTTTGCGGTGTAAAACCTGCAGATATAGGGGATCAACTGTATTCAATGTATTATACTATTTTATACAAGAGACTTGAGCATTCTTGGATTATAGCATCAGGGGGCTCCTAGAAACAATCCCTGGTGGATAGCAAGGGACAACTGTTTTCCGTGGCATGGCTTGCATTCATTTATTGTTGATAATGATTATTCCCTGACATAGATGATCCTGAGTCTTGACTGGAAATCATTCCACTAATTTGCCTAGAAGCAATAATCTGAAGAAGTAACTGAGCAAATAGTCCTTTCTTCTCTGTATTGTATTCAGTCAGAGTGCAACAGATGACAAATTTCTTTAACTGTATAGCTCTTTCAATTTAAACATGTGGGCACACATGGGTCTCTATGCACACAACAGCAAATACCTTTTCCTACCCTGTAGTAATGGCAAAAAGTTCTCACCTGTTGTTGGGAAAACTGGTAAAGTAGTCCTGTTCAGGCTTCAGAGGCAGAGGAAGGCCTCTGACCACCTTGTGACCCTGCCTGGACTGGATGCCTGCTTGCACACCTAACAATTGTTACTAACAACTCAAGCAGCATGTACAATTAGAAAGGGAGTGGGTCTTGGAATTTCTTGAGCCCTGGGGACCTGGCCAGTCACCCGGGGTCTGGAAAATCTTGTGACTCACATGGTGAAATCAACAGCATATTGAACCAGAGCTGCACTGAACCAACAGCATATTGAACCAGAGCTTCATTTTTGCATGCACACTGATGATATCAGTTTGCAGCCTGGGATTATAAACAGAAACCCCCAGAACTACAGTTTGAAGTCTCATCCATGGGGTGGACTCACAGCCCGGGACCTTCCCAATTGGGACTCCAGATTGCTGTTCAAGGGACTTCGCAGCACTGCTTGGATCTGGATGTAGCTGCTTCTCCAATTTGGTGATGTATAAACCTCTGTCTTTACTATTCTTTTTTAGTTATACTATTCTTTTCTTAATTAGTATACTGTAATCTTTGTTAATTCAATAAACTCTCTCTAAATTCTTGTTTAACTGAGTGTTATTTTGTCAGCGAATCCTATGAACCTTGAAACCAAAAGTAAGGCTTTCGGCAAAACATCTGTCCAGTATAACATTTTTCAGACCTATCACACATTAAAAATTGGATAAATCAAGATACTTCCTGAGTCCCTATGTAAAAATAAAAATAAAATAAACAGAAACCTCAATTAAATAGAATTGGGAGACCAGAGGGGGAGCTCTCACACCCTGCAATGATAGCAGAGCCCAACAGGAAAAAGAAACACTCCTCTTCTTTCCTGGCAGGACTTAACCAATGAAAAGCCATGCGCTCTTTGTTTACTCTAGCCCTCCCAACTTCCTTCTCCTCTCTATAAAAGTGTTCTCCATTCCTTGCTGTGTGGAAACTTGCATGTGGCTCAACATGGTTACAGACCTTGAATTGCAATTCTCTGCTGATCCTGAATAAATTTATCTTTTCTGGAGAAATACTTGGCTGTCTGTCAGGTAAACATTTTGATGGCCTGTAGAGGAAACAGAGAAGACTCCCGAAGGCACTGGGCCTGGTGAGCAAACAGGTGCAGTTCCCACAATTGAGCCCATTGTCACTCAATGCTTTTCTCGCTGAGCCTGGAGTTTGAACCTACATCTTTTTCCTGGATCCAAGCTCACATCCTCTTTGTTTTTGAAACTCTTCAGGCTTTATTTGGGATCAATTTTAAGGTTTCATCTTTCTGGTTACGGTGTTATTCTGTATGCAAATGCTTCTTTGGCACTTTGGTCTGATTTTGAGATCACTGTTTCAGCCAAAGCTGACTGAGAAGCCAGTGGCCTCTTCCTTCCAGAACAGGGACTGCTTCACAGAAACTGCCAATTCAGCTATGCATCCATTCCTTTGGAATAGGGGTTGTTTTCTGTAAACTGGCTGAAAAGCCTTTGGCTTCGATATTTCCTTAGAATTGGCTAGTATTAGCTTGCAAGCTGCTTGAGTTGAGCTATTTGAACTGTTTGAAAATTGTTCTTAACTCTAGAGAAAAACGTCTGAGAAATGGGATCCCAGTTATTTAAATTTTTTAAGGGCACCTACAATACAGCCTATTTTATGTTTAAAAACCACTGTCCTTCTTCATGTGCATTTATAACAAAATGGACCAATATGACCAAAACAAATTTAGAATATCAGTGGTCATTATGGGGAAATTTTGAAATCCCCAAACTTAATTTCATTAAAACTGAATTGTATTAAACAACTCAAAACTTTCTAGAATTGACTCGTATGCCTATTTTGATTGGTATTTTGAGGTTTGCAAAAGTTATCAGGAGTCTAAAATTCTGCATTTGCAAAATAAGATTTTTAAGATTCATAGAGTCAAACAAACTATTAAAGAAAGATAAAATGGGTCTTAAAGACTCAGGCTCTTCTTCCTTGGTTTCTTTTTCTCAAGCTCCACCTCTGGTGCCATCTTGTCTCTCTCCCGTGGCTCCCTGTGGTTCGACTCTGACTTTGGTGCCATCTTCTTCTTCCTCTTTTACACTACCTATGCCTCCTCTATACCCACTGGTCACGCATACAAATTATCTTGCTGAACTTCCCCTTTTTTTCTGAAACTCTGCCCAATACTTTTTCCTCTAAATTTGTCAGAACCTGTCCCTTTAAATTAAGCCTTCTGGGGATCCAGAAGCTAAACCCTTAATTTCTTATGTACCCTGGACTAATGCTGAACTGTAAGCCATAGTCAAAGATTTTCCCAAAGTAACTGATGATCCTCACAGATTTGCTGAGGAATTTAATACAGTCATCCAAACTTATCAACCCAGTTTCTCTGACTCATATCAGCTAGTTCATATGCTTGTCTGTGAAGCCTAGGCCCAGCACTGGATGGAAACTGTTAATTGGAAAAGTCCTGAAAAGTTTCTAGAATTACAAATGGGAGACAAGCCCACTAATTTATTATATGATCCAGGCTCAGGCAATCCTAAGTGACATCTTTGGGCAATTCCTAGGGCTTTTCCAAAGCCTGTTGATTGGAATAAAATTTAGGCTTGAACACAAAAATCTGATGAATCTGTTCATGACTACTACAACTGACTTCAGATTATTTTAAAATTCTGGACTTTTTTCAGATATTGATTCCACCCATGTAGCTTTTAATTCTATATTTATTAATGGGCTGAACGAGGACCTTTCCCTTCTAGTAAAAAGGACCAGGATGGAATGGAAAACTATGTCCACTCCAGATGTAGTTCATCTGGTAAACCAGTTCTTTCCCACTTTAGATGAGTCACCTAAAAAGAAGAATGCCAAAATTCTTCATCTTCAACTCAAGCAAATGAATGCTCCTAAGTGAAAACAAAACCCTCCTACTTTCTGCTATTATTGCAAAGAGCCAGGACATTGGAAAAGAGATAGTTACAAATTTAAGCATTTTAGGTGCCTTCAGCCTTCTAACCAGCCTTTCCAATGTCCTCCCAATTCTCAATGATGGGGCTCCTAGGAAGTACAGGAGCTCTTCCCAATCGTCCCTCTTAATTGACTTGGAAAAACATTTCTCCAGATTGGGATGGATCTCTTCCAGTCCTAACTGGCACCAGAGCCACACTCTCAGTGCTCAACCCCACTACCATAAAACTCCCCTGCCTATGAGTGTTAAAACAGCTCAAATAGTGGGAATCTCTACTGAACCTCAAGTGGTTTCTGTCTATGGACCTATTCCCTTTTGTTTAGGCCCTTTGAGAAATACACACCCTTTTCTCTTTGGTTTCTCTACCCCTATCCATTTATTAGGCTGAGATGCCTTAGAGAAGTATCATGCTGGAATTTCTTTCTCCCAAAAGGGGAAATAAGTCTAGAATTTGACATTAATCATCAAAATAATGAACCAGGTGAATTAAATGACCCTTTGACATTTTGTTGTTGTTGTTCTATTTCTGA